TCAATAACCGTGGGACCTAACAAGCACAAACTCCCCTACAGCCCAAGCTTTCAATCATCTCCTGTATTGCACTGTGCTCTATTCCAAGTTTTCAGGCTATTGTGTCCACAGTCACACGCCTGTCATCTTAAATGATCTCCTCCACTCTTTCCTTGTTGCGTTCAGTTGAGGCTGTTCGAGGATGACCGCTCCGAGGCTCATCTTTGATGCTGGTGTTCCCATCTTTAAAATGTTTCACCCATCTTCGAACACTGCTCACACCCATGCACACACTTCCATAAGCACGCTGAAGTCTCTGGTGAATTTCTGCAGCAGGAAATTCCTCTTTCACAAGAAATTCGATGACAGCATGCTGGCGAAACGACATATTGTTGTTGGCCATTTTGTTAGGAGTGATACTGGTCACGTGATGCAAGCTATTGACGTCACAAGACACTCAAGGTTAACACAACAGTGGTTTCACCTACCACCATACTCTCTTTCGTCTGCTGTTCCCAGGTTGCATGCAAAAAAAATTTGCTCATGACTTTCAGTACGTCCTACGTACAAAGAGATACTGAGTTTTTGGACTTTGTCCATCATCCAGATTCTAAATAACTAAGAAAAAAAACGGTTTAGAAGCTGGATCTGTTTCTATCCTCAGGTGAGGGAAGACACCTACTCTGTTGGGTCCCTTAGAAAGAGCTAGGGACCAAACAGAGTAGGTGTCTTCCCTCACCTGAGGATGGAAACAGATCCAGTTTCTGAAACTTTTTTTTTATGTTTATTTGGAATCCGTACGATGGACAAAGTCCGAAAACCCAGTATCTCTGTGTGTTATACAGCATCATCAGAACCCTATAGTATCTAGATAAATACATTTCACACCCTATTTCTTTAAAATCCATTATAATATCATCCTTCCATTGACTTCTTTGGTCTTATTAGTGTTATACTAGAAGTTGCTTTCACATTAAAATTTTATTTGAAATTCATTCTTCCTCCTGAGATACAAGATGATCTAACTGTAAGATCCCTGATTTGACTTCCCAAAAAATGGGTGAATTATCTTGCAAAATTTCTCACTGTGAACTGCAACCACTTTCCCTAATCACTTCATCACTCATAGGCCTAAATATTTTCCTGAACATGCTGTTTCCAAACTCTTAAAATTTTAGAGACTGCATTTCACAGATACGTTTGTTTATATAATTATTAATATTTCCAAGATATGCTGCTTGATGTACATGTTTAACTGCTCATAACTAAAATCTGAAGCTCTTCACCACAGACTCTTAATGTAGTCTATATTTTGTTCCTATTGTTCTGCTTTCAGGCATTTCAGTGCACTGGAAAATGTTTCTTTCCTGTGAGTGAACATCTGTCCCCAACAAAACATGCCATTGTCCAGACTCTCCTGCACAGTGTGGCCCCAGGCAAGGTGTCGCGGGCTTGTTGTGTTCCCACTCGACTAGAACCCATCTCTGTGCTTTATATTGACCAGAAAGGAGTTCTCACGTATCGCTTCAGCTACCAGGACATGGTAGTGGCTGAGTGTGGCTGTCGGTGAAGTCAATTCGGTTTGCACACATCTCCATGTATAGCTTCAGAACCAATGTAAAGACAATATTAAGTTCTGAAAAAAACCTTTGACAGATTTGGAATTTAAGCATGGTGCATGAATTACTGCAAATATTGCAACCTTCATTAAAGTCACACTGTCAGATTCTCAGGCATTGTATGTAAATCTTCATTTTCTCTAAAGAAACATTTCAGTCTCAAACGTGAATGGAGGCGGGGGGAGATTTCTCCAAGCTTCTTGGTAAAAAAATAAACCTCTGAGGCATCAGTATGTCATCATGACTGTACAATCAATACATTTCTCAGCAATATACATTCATCTAACTTTACAGCACTCTGGGATGTTGCACTGTGAAGTCTGATGGATGGGTAGCAGTGTTACAGAGGAACTTGCTGCCTCTTTTTTCAGGGTAGAAAAGAGTTTTCTGAAATTGAAGGTACAGGCTGCAGGTTCCCCCTAAAATATTGGTATATATCTACTACACTACATGGCATTGCATTCCAGAAGACTGTTCCTCCGAAATATAGGTAAACTTTGATCAGACAATAGGCCGTACAGCACGACAGTGTCATCAAGGTCTTACAGAGGCTTGTGGGCAATCTGCATTGCCTTACAGAACAGTGGCAAGGTGGGAAAAAGCCTTCAATGAGGGACGCAAAAAATGGCAGACATGCATCAACCAGGTCCTCCTAGTGTCAGTGAAGAAGAATTATATGCTCTTTCCACGTTACTGGAGAGTGATCCGACACCATACGATTCGTGAGCTGGCCCAAGAGACAGGATTAGCATATACGACTGTGCTTCACATTCTGAAGGAATGCCTGGGCATGAGAAAAATTGCATCACGATGGGTTCCGCATGATTTGATGGAAATGCAGAAATGGCTACGATACAACACTGCTCGTAACCACTTGGAGTGCTATGAGCGTGAAGGAGAGGCTTTCTTATGCCGTATCATTACCCTGGATAAAACATGGGCCAAATCCTACGAGCCACAAATGAAACGTCAATCATACGAATGATGTCATTACGGGTCACCACAAAAATCAAAAGTTCATCAGAACCCCAGCAATGTGAAAGTTATGGTGATTCTCATGCATGACTGGGATGATGTTATCCTAATGCATACCGTTCCCCCACAGTAGACCATGAACGCACAGTATTACTCTTCACTTTTGGAACACGACCTGCAACCAGCTTTGAGAAAGAAGTGGCGACACTTTCTGCAGAATCCACCCGTCATTTTGCAGGACAAAGCTCGGCCGCATGCAGTGCAAGTTGTGGCTAATTTGTTGGATCGATGGGGCTGGGAAGTGCTGTACCATCCACCATACTCCCGGACTTAAGCCCTTGTGACTTCGACTTGATTCCTAAGATGAAGGAACCACTTCGTGGCATTTATTCAGAATTGTTTCAGAGATTCTTCAGGTAGTAGACCACTCCATTTGAACTATCAACACAACAGGCACTGCTAATGGTATCCTACAACTTCCACATCACTCGCAACGGGTTGTACACAACGCTGGTGACTACACTGAAGGGCAGTAAAATTTTGAAACATGCATCTATTTTGTATCAGTTGTAAATAAATAGCTGCCACTATTAAAGTTCCAACCCTTGTACTATTTGAGGGGGGATTGTGAATATTACATAATGAGAGATTTAGTGATTTAAAAACTGAAAATGGATATATTTCTTAACCAGAATACTTTGAAACAAAAGCTGTATGACCATTAGTTTAAGGTTAAGTTTAAAGTATCCAAAGAAACTCATAGGAAGGAGGGGTTGGAATCAAATAGCATATGTTGTCTACTGGTCTACGCTGATGCAGTTAATTTATAAGGTGAAAACAAACACTGCAAAGAAGAAGGCAAAACAATATTACACATGAGATTTTCACAGTGGTGATATGAAGAGTATGCCTACTGTCTTTTGGAATGTGTTGTCATGTAGTCTAGTACAAATTCACTGACATGTTTAGAACATCTAAAGCTGAGTACACTTCAATGAAAAATATATTTATGATAATTTATTTAACATCCATAACTGTTACACAGGCACAATTTGACATGTCAATTAAGAGCTGCCAAACACTATATGTCAACAAGTCATAAAAATGTACAAAAAATATACAAAACAATGAATAATACAACCCTTTTTTGATCAGTAACCCCTTTCTGCAGCTTACCAACAATGGATGACAACTCCCAGCAATTCAATATAAAGCAATAAATATACCTAACAACCAAAAACACAAGTCGGCCATGTAAAACAAAGCACCACACGTTTGGTGAAGATAACAGTCCAAAGACCATCTATACACGAGCACTTCCGTATCATACCAAGATTAACTCAAGTTACCAAACTACCGTCTGTTGTTACTAAACCAACTCTTGTAGATAATAAAAACAGTTTTGTAATAAACATTTTAAATTAATTTTTATGTAATATAAATCTGTATTCACTCATATTTTGTTGCAATCTGTTGTAGAAATCACTGTAGATAATATTTTATTCCTGTAAACACATTATTTCCAGCAAGCACAGTTTGCTGACTGAGGCATGGTTTTTATTTACAATTAATTTATCATGTAATTAGTGTAAATTTTCCTGCTCTGCTCCCAGGGAAAGAACCTACATCCCGAATTGTATAAATAATTGGCTGCATTTACTCATTACACATTCACACCCCATTCCACTTATTTTGATAACTATGTTACGATGGTAAAGGACCATCAGTGGACACTTTTACACATGCAAATATCCCATTTTTTTAGTTTAAATACCTAAAGAAAATTTTGGAAACATCCAGAACAGGAGGTTTCACATAAAAGTAAAAAAGTAAAGCTATCCCTGTAACAGGCCATGATGGCCCATAGGGGTTGTGAGACGTTGAGGGTCCCACATTATCTAGACAATCGGCTCAAAGATGGCGGTAAGGTTGTCAGCCTTACACGCCTGCCGCGCTTTACTACCCAGGAAAATTATTTATTTAATTCCTGGTACTCATTTCTGTTAGAGGCTGAGTCGGCCCCAGGGCCATAGTGCGGCCGGAAGGATTAGGTCAATTGAAAAAAAATCCAATGACCTCATCGGTATTTGAACCCGCGACCTTCATATTGGTCAATAATAATTCCTCCATTATTGAGGCTCTTCATGTTCCACATGATCAGAAAAACAAAACACAAATATATATACATGAGTGTGTGTGTGTTTTTTTTTTAATAGTTTTTCAGATATTAGTGTTTCAGTTTTCCAAACATACATAGCTGTTGTGTCTAGTCCGACAGTCCGACTAGTCGTCTTGTCCATTCTACCTCGCCCTACTCGAATGCAATACAATGATATCTCGCGAGATAGCGACACATGTCAAGTGCACCGTATGCCATCTATCAACGCTAGCGAAAGGTGCTGGGTATTCAGTAGTTCAGTAGTCAACGTTGAGTAAGTATTGACTTGCTTGGGTACCAAATGATCAGTTCGGAGCAGTGCCTGGCATGAATCTGTAAAGTTTTATTTCATATCATTGTTGTTTGTGACGTCATAAAAGCAAGGGCTCTGAATGCTCTAAAGTACGAAGTTTAATATCAGGTAGTGTGAAATTTCAAAGGGCTTTCGAAAGAAAGATAATACGTGTAAGTATGTTGGTTGTAATGCTGAGTGATATTCTTGTTTATACCGTGTAGGAAGATGGTATGTTCAGGGAAGTATATTCTGAAAATGGAGGCAGCATGTTCCATCGAAGCGTTGTTACCTATCTGGCAAATTACATGGCTTTACATCCCAGAAGACTGTTATCTTCGTATTTAATGTGGGAATAAAAAATGTAACATTTGATACTGTAGTTGATTCCGTACATGGAATGTTAGAATTGTGTGTAGGGCAACCCGGGTCTGGTCAAGTGGGATTTGTGGTGGACAAGGTGGCGCTGGGGTAGGTTTTCTCCGAGTACTTCGGTTTCCCCTGCCAATCTTCATTCCACCAAATTATAATCAGCCGGGGCAGGTACAATAGGCCAATCAGTGGCCGCCGTGCCGAGTGGACCAAACTGAACTCTACCCCCACTATGCAAATTAAAAAAATTAAAAAATGTATAGGGCAGTGGCAGAAGAAATCCTAAAAGATTTAGTGGGAGTACAGGAGATCAGAAGGGATGGAGGTGGCATCGCACCAACAGGCGAATATACATTTTTCTATAGAAAGGTGAATGAAAATCATGAATTGGGTACAGGTTTTTTCGTACATAGGAGAATCGTATCAACAGTTAAGAGGGTAGAGTTTTTTAGTGATGACATATATATAATACTGAAATGATGCTGGTGTGATATCATTGTTATGAATGTTCACACCCCAACAGAAGATAAAATTGATGACATAAAGGATTCTATGAAGAACTAGAACATTTATTTGATAAATTCCTGAAGTACCATATGAAAATTCTGTTAGGAGATTTCAGTGCCAAAGCAGGGAGGGAAGACATTTACAAACCAACGATTGGGAATGAGAGTTTGCATGAAATTAGTAATGATACTGGAGTTAGAGTAGTAAACTTTGCCATATCAAAAAATCTTACTGTAGAAGTACAATGTTCCCACATCGTAACATCCATAAATGTACTTGGACAGCTCCTGATGGGAAGACACACAATCAAATTGACCATATTTTGATAGACAGGAGACAGCATTCAAGTATACTTGAATGCTTCAGGGCAACAGATTGAGATACTGACCACTACCTGGTGGTGGCAAAAGTTAGGGAAAGACTGGCAGTGAGTAAGCAAACAATACACAGAGTTCATATGGAGTGGTTCAATCTCAAGAAATTAAATGAGGTATAGGGTAAAGAGCAGTATCGTGTTGAAATTTCAAATAGGTTCGCGGCCTTGGAAAACTTGGACACAGGTGTTGTAAAGCTTAGGAAACTATTAGAGAGAATATCCAAATTTCTGCCAAGGAGAGTAAAGGTTATTATGAACTGAAGAAGCATAATCCATGGTTCAATGAAGGATGCTCAAAATTATTAGATCAAAGAAAGCAGGCCAAATTGCAATGGTTATAGGATCCAAGCGAGTTCAATGGGGATAATCTGAACAATATAAGACATGAAACCAGCAGGCATTTCAGGAATAAAAAGAGGGAATATCTGAAAGATAAAATTAATGAGCTTGCAACAGACAGTAACAAGAACATTAGAGACCTGTATAGAGGAATAAATGACTTCAAGAGAATTATCACACTGAGGGTGTTTGAGAACAGGGTGTTGAGGAGAATATTTGGACCGAAGAGAGATGAAGTGACAGGAGGTTGGAGAAAACTGCACAATGAGGAGCTTCATAACTTGTACTCTTCTACAAGTATAATTAGAATGATCAAGTCAAGGAGAATGAGGTGGGCATGGCATGTAGAATGAATGGGGGATAAGAAGAATGCATATAGGATATTGGTGGTAGAGCCAGAAGGAAAGAGACGACTGGGAAGACCAAGGCTTAGGTGGGTGGACCATGTTAAAATGGATCTTAGAGAGATAGAATGGGATGGGATGGATTGGATTGATCTGGCTCAGGATATGGACCAGTGGAGGGCTCTTGTGAACACGGTAATGAACCTTTCAGGTTCCATAAACTGCTGGGAAATTCTTGAGTAGCTGCAGATTTGGCTTCTCCTCAAGAAGGGCTCAGCTCCATAAGTAAGAAAGATGGTATAGCACTGATGCTGGAAACCTCTATTGTTTCTGCCAAGAAGAGTCATTCTTAACTCAACCCAAAAGCTGAATATCGCTAGTATTTATACCACCTTGAATATAGTATATTAGTAGTAACTGCCTTGTAATATGGCAGAATTTTACCAGCATTTCAGAGACACTGCTGTCACCATCTTCAGGGTTAAAGAGTATCTTGAAAATAGAGACATTGCATTCCTCTGTAATGTCTGTAAACCTTTTTCACACTACAAGGTGGCATGTTCCAGAAGAATTAACTTAAGAGTTACTGCTGTGAAATCCTCAGATCTCAACCTCAGTATGTTTTCCTTCAGAATGGGATCCCAAATTATTTAATTTTCATATGGTTTGTGGTGGGGAAAACCAGAAGGAAAGAGACTGCTAAGAAGACTAAGACATGGGTGGGTTTATAATACAGGGTTACTACAAATGATTCATTCCATTTCAAAACACTATATTTTCCAGAGTAATACACATACAAATATGATTGATACATGAAAAGAACAGCAAACTCACCAAGTTTGCATCGCGATACACCAGTTGGCAGCATGAATGCAGTGCCTCACAAAATGGCGACGAAGCTGGAGAAGAGTTTCTGTGTGTTGGAATATGTGAGATGTTCATCTGTTATTGCAGTGCAGCGTGCATTCAGAGCAGAGCATAGAAAAGAACCACCATGTAAACAGAGCATTCTGCGGTGGTATCGGCAGTTTAAGGATACTGGTTGTCTGTGTAAACGGAAAAGCACGGGGCGACCAGTATAGTGTTTTGAAATGTAATGAATCATTTGTAGTAACCCTGTATTAAAATTTATCTTAAGAGAGATAGGATGGGGTGGTATGGACCAGATTGATTTGGCTCAGGATAGAGACCAGTGGAGGCCAAACATTATAAGGTCACATGAAAAAGGATAACACTTAAACAGATTAGAAAAATAATATACAATATATAAAAAATCAGTAAGAAAACTTAAACATGAATGACACAAACAATGATACACATAACCCAATATTCAGAACATTACTGGAAATGAACACCAGAGAGCAGTGAGCAGCCCCAAATATTGTGATGCATATGACTGCTGCTAGGCAACAGCTTGGTAAACACATTCCCAAAGTTACGCTCTCAACAACAGAAGGACAAACACTGCTAGGTAACGAACCAGTAAACACATTCTGGATAACAGAAAATGGTGTTTTCTATGGAGTCTGTGCCAAGGAATTATAACGAGAATGAGAATGGAGGCCTTCGGCGTGACTGACAAATGACAGACCTTACCTCTCGTCAGAGAGGCCGCCCCAAATGAACAGGACAGTAACTTCCATATAAAGAAAAAAAAATCTGGTCATGAGCCCCAGTCAGGGCTCGACACCAAGACAGACTGACTGACCGACCGTCAGTCGCAATGTGACTTTGACTTTGAGGCCTTTGGCTGTCCTATTTTCCAAAGCCTTGGAAGGAAGCAAAGGTTATAACATTACCAAAACCTGGTAAGGACTCAAAATTTCCACCCGATTAGTTTCTTGTCTTGTCTTGTCTTGTCTTGTCAAATAAGTTATTTTGAAAATAGTCCAAAGGCAAATTGAAAAAAAAAAAAAGGCCTGATTAATGCAAGCCAGTTTGGTTTCCATTCCTGTCGTAGCACGACACTTCAATGTATGAGGCTTACGGACTATGTAACCTTAAATTTCAATAATAAAATGTCTACAGCTGCTGTATTCTTGGATATTGAAAAAGCCTTTGATAAAACATGGCACACTGGCTTGCTATATAAATTAGCTACATTACAATTTTCAATAAGTTTAATCAAGCTTATTAGCTCTTTCCTTTCTCAGAGAAAATTCAGAGTTTCAGTCAAAGGTGAAATGTCTACACCAAGGAAAATACAAGCAGGAGTGCCACAAGGTTCTGTTCTCTCCCCCACACTGTATAGTCTATATATAAACAATACACCCCAAACACCTGGTCTCTTTGCTGATGACACCTGTATATATGCGACAGACCGCAAAGAGGGTTATGTTCTCAGAAAGCTGTAGCAAGGTCTGTGTTATTGAAACGTGATGTGATTGCTGGAATGTAAAAATCAATGAAGATAAAACTCAGGCAATCTACTTCTCTCATAGACTTCGGCCCCTCAGACTCATCTTACATTGAATGGGCAGAATATTCCCTTCGTCAGTTATGTAAAATACCTGGGCGTAATCTTCGATAAGAGGATTATGTGGACACTTCACATAGAAATGATTGAGCCAAGGCCTTCAGAACATTTATTAGAATCTATTCCCCATTGAAAAGTGAACTTTTAAACGCAAACATTAAACTATCCCTCTATAAGGCACTGATCAGATCAGTAATGACTTACGCTTGTCCCGCCTGGGAATTAGCAGCAGACACCTACCTCCTAAAATTGCAGCACATGCAAAACAAGGTTTTGCACACCATTGGAAATTTTCCAAGGTGCACACCAGTCTGCGACTTGCACACAGCTTTCAACATTCCGTATGTATATGATTATATAACAAAATTGTGCAGACGACAAGCAGAAGTCATACAAAATCATGATAATGAACATGTTCACGGTATAGGACAAGGTGAAGCCAGACAGAGAAAATATAAGAGGCTTAAACTTGGCAGTGGTCAAGCTTATGACTGTTCAAATGACTAAGTTTTAATTGTAGCATAAGATCTGTAAGTTAGGCATGATCTGCTGTGTAAAGCCTGTACTGACAGAGGACTTGTGTGTAAAGCAAAAGGAAGAGTTTTTGATAACATATTATATGTGCGAAATATACATTTGACGAAAGGTTGAATGTATTCAGAAGAGACAGACCCATCTTCTCGTCAGAGAGGATGTTACATAAGGGCTATTACCGCAAGAGTTCAGTTGAAAAAAAAATCTCTGGTTGTGGGCCTCAAGGGGCCTGATGCCAAGACGAACTGACTGGCAGTAAACCGCCAGTCGTAAAGTGACTCTGACTTTGACTGTGTCATAGTGATTTGTGAAGTGGGTAGAAAGCGATGGCACTATAACTGATTGTGCTTGAGAGAGATTGTAAAAGAAGATGTTAATTTATCATGTCATCCAATCCAGAACCTCTTATTATCAGTTACGGAGCCATAAAAACAGAATGAGTACACAAAACCACCAGAACAGCTACACACAGCATGATGGAAAGAAACCAACACACCCCAAAAATGCAAGTAACCTTACAATTACAGAGATAGAATAGCAGTATATAACATGTCCATCTCTTAAATAAAACACTGATATAACCCATTATTACACATATACCAAACTTATAACATGTGTGCACAACAAAAGTAAGCATGGCATGATAATCCAAAAAAATAACTTAAATATTTTATAAGCATTTTAATTTATTTGTAAAATACAAAATACAGCAGTGTAACAACAAAGCAGAACTTTTCAATTACAATCTTGTACACCTGATGATGGCTAGTTAGCCTGAAACTTGTAGTGTTAAATTAATAATTATAAGAGACAAAGAGCCATTGAAGTGTGCATTTTAATATATGGACAAAGGTGTGCAGGAACAGTGAAATGAGAGCACTAAAAACAGTAGAGGGCTCCTGTGAACACAGTAATGAACCTTTAGGTTCCATAAAATGTTGGGAAAATCTAGCTTAAAACAGTCAAATTGAGAAGAGGTATATGATTTTTGTTTTATTTTCAGGTTTATAATTGACACAGATACCTGGTGGTTTTGGTCTGGATCAGCCGCTGATGAATGATTGGATATCAGCACTAAATGGAACCAGTTCTCTTTCATTAGCATATCAACCAAGTTGTCCAGTCTCAGACAGTCAGGTGGCTGTGTCAGATGTTTCAATTTTAGGACAGTTACAGTACTGCTCTTTGTCAGATGATATTGTGCCACCTAATCCACTGCGACAACTGCAGCAGTTCCCATTGTCGCATCATGTATCTACGAGTACTGTAAGACAGCTAATATACTCTATTGTATCAAATAATACATCTGCTTCATTACCATCACCAAAGGATAATAGCTTGAATAAACAGACTGCTCAGACTGTATTTTTATAGTTACCAGTGTGTAAATATCCAATAGGTATACCTCCAAGAATAGAATCACAGTGTAAAAAGACTAGACGATATACTTCATTACAATCACATAAGACTTCTTCCATAAGCTCTGAAGTAAATGATATAAGTGATGTGACTGTCATAGATGGAGTAGATGTTCATGGTGATGAGAAATGTGATGACGTTGTTGCCATATCATAAACCCACACCAATTAAGATGGAAAGTAATGTAATTACTATTGATGATAGTGATGATGAAGATTTAGGAAACAGAAGCAAACTCTTTACAGAGACAGTTGAAGTAACTGCTAAAGACAAAACACGTGTTCGTGATGAAGACAATGGCTATGGTGGTGTCCGTCGCTATAAAGCCAGGTCTGTTGAGATGGAAAGCAAAACTGTAATTACCATTGATGAAAGTGACGATAGCAAAAGTGAAGATGATATAGATATAATTATTGTGGATGAACATAATGAGGAGTTAAGTAGCAGGGCCAGAGGTACAGTAGCGATAAAAACAGAAGAGGGGTTAAATATTTCGGATATAAAGTTCAAAGTAATAAAAAGTGAAGAAAAGCCTGAAGTGAAAGCATTTGAGTTCCAAGAAGAATTCAATATAAAAGAAGGCAATGACAGAAAGCCAGTGTTAGCAGAGACATCATACCATATGACTGATGTTAAAGAACATGATATGACAATTATAAAAGAGCCCATGGAAGGGATAAAAGTTGAACATAAATATTCTCTTGAATGGCCAGACAATAGTGACAACTTGACTGAAGAAGTTTCCTACCCATTATGCCCTTTCCAGTATCCAGATCTTAGTAACGATGTGAAAGCAGAAGAGTACTATCAGGCAAAAGGTAGTACTGAGGTTATAGAAGATAGCCTTGACTCAAGACTGATTATTGATGAAATTAAAGAAGAAAACCAAACTGACTCGAGTTTTGAGCCTAGCTATGATTCCTGTAGTGGCAGCTGTGAAACACCCACTCCAGACCTTGAACATACAACAGAAGTGTTTGGAAATAAAACTGAATTCAGTAAATTCAATACAGAAACTGAAATGATGACTGGAGAGGAAGAAAACTTAGAATATTCGAGTGCAAAAGAAGAAAATAACAGAGTTCGATGCTTTACGTGCAAGAAAAGCTTTCCTTCGCAAAGGGTGTTAGCAAAACACATTTTGAATCATACGGGTGGGAAGGTGTTCCGGTGTGAAGAATGTCATATGCAGTTTATTTTGATGTCTCAGCTGACAGCCCATAAAGACAAGAAACATCTGATGGCATTTTACAACTGCAAACATTGTGGTGTATCATTCAATACCAGGTAATGCAAATACGTGTTATGTTTCATCATGAAATAAAGAGTAAATAATACCATTCAATATGAAATAAAAGAGTAAATAGTCCATAATGTATATTAATAATATCTGTGATAAGAACACACACATTTCATGACACATGTCATCAGCAGGGCCTGGATTTTGATGACATGTCATCTTTTTTCCCTTGTATCTTATTTGATGCCTGTAAATATATAAATCCCGGAGATGAGCTGCTGGTTACAGAAACATAACTTTCATAGGTCATTTTTTCAGTTTGGGGGTAATTTTTCGGAAAATGTTTGGAGTTTTATGGGTATTTTTTGTTGTTTTAGCCATTTTAGGGAATTTTTCTTCATATGTTTTCAGAAATGTGAATAATATGCAAGTAAAGTGTTCTTTCGCTTTCTCCTGCCTCTACAAATGCAGCCTGCAGCTGCACCCAAGTACCTGCTATCACAGTATGCAATAATAAGTTGTAATAATGTCCCGTCCTTTCCGTTCGTTTTGCAGGAAGTGCTGACATTACATATCATAAAACGTTTTAAGCTGACAGCAGGGTATGACAGTGGTCACACAGTGTGGCCCTTTCCAAGTTCTGTGCAAAGGAATTTGCTTAGTTATAAATATTTCTAGTCAGAATCCCTTGCTTTATATGACATATTGTTGCTAAGTAGAACTCTGTCTTCATTTTCCCGTGCTTGACCGTACAGACAAAGATACAGTTGACAAAAGGTTCTCAGTGTGAAAAGTTCAGTTCTGTGTAGTACTAGAGTGATTCATTTTATCATGATGCCTAAAGCAAAGCCATCTCAGTCATGTCATTTAAAGAAGATTGTAGCTGAATTTGGAGATGATATACTTTCAACTGACAGCTAAATTTTATGCTGTAAGATGTGACACAAAATTTGTGGCAGAAAAAAGTTTCATGATACAACAACAAATCGGTCGCAACAAGCATGGGCAGTGCAAATTTCGAACAAAAAGAAATCTGTGCAAATGTTACTGCAACAGTGTTCAATGGAAGGCAGAAATGTCATCGGGTTTTTCACAGATCTGTGTGATGCTCTGGTATCCGAAAATATTCCGTTTTGGGCTCTGAACAATAAAAAACTGAAAAATTTTCTGGAAGTGATTTGTGGTCGTTCTATCCCGGATGAATCCACTACATTTCCAAGTGCTACAACAATATCCTGGGAATGATTAGGAATAAAGTGCATGGGAAGATATTTGTTTCTATTGATGAGACCTGCGCTATGGAGGCTCGCTACATGGCAAAGGTCATCATTGGAATCTTGGAAAATTGATGGACCAGGTGAACTGTTAGCGTAGTGGTTAAGGCACTATGCTACAAGTCGGAAGGTCGCGGTTTCAAATACCGATGAGGTCATTGGATTTTTTCAGTTGACCTAATCCTTCTGGCCGCACTATGGCCCTGGGGTTCACTCAGCCTCTAACAGAAATGAGTACCAGGAATTAAATAAGTAATTTTCCTGGGGAGTAAAGCACGGCCGGTGCGTAAGGCTGACAACCTTACCACCATCTTTGAGCCGATTGTCTAGATAATGTGGGACCCTCAACGTCTCACAACCCTATGGGCCTTCATGGCCTGTTACAGGGATAGCTTTACTTTTTACTTTATGATACATTTTAGATTTTGATTAACTTTTAGGTCGTTTTTCTGGATTTTTTTTTTTTTCAGTCAATTTATAAGCCATTTTTAAAACATTTTTAGGTCATCAAAATCCGGGCCCTTATCATCAATTTCCAATGTATATGACTATTTAGAGAATCAGATTCCCTCTTTGAAAATTTCTAAATGGTTTTGTAGTGCAACTTTAATATGATGGGAATTTAAAAGAATGTCTGTTCTAGAGAAAATTGACAATATACAAAAATGGTTGAAAATCTTCAGTTTGATTTTAAAGGCAATCTTTGCCAGAAACGTTTTATCTAGGTAGCAGCACCACTTAATGCAGATATTCTATTAGGTTGGGTATCTTAGTACAGAAGAAACCATTGCAGAACTTTTCAGTTTACTGAGGATAGGTATTTTTGCCAAAGTTTATTTTAAACAATTTTCCATTAAAATTACATGGAAATTTATGCTGGTTACATCATGAAATTGGAATATGACAGTTATGCAAGAATGATACATATATATGAAGAAGTTTGGTAAGTACTGTAATTTGAAATGAGATGTAAATTTTGTATTATTGTAAGGAGAGGCCCATAGGGTTTTGAGGTATCAAGGCTCCCACATTTTCCAAACAGTTGGCTCACAGACTGTGGTGAGGTTGTCAGCCTTACACACCAGCTGTCCTTTATGAACTGGAAGATTCCTGGTACTCATTTCTGTTAAGGCTGAGTTGGCCTCAGCTGGAATGATTAGGTCAGTCACCTCATTAGGAGTTGAACCCATGTCCTTCCAGCTTGTAGCATAGTTCATTAACTAACTATGCTGCGGTGTATCCCAGGATAGTCATGTCTGGCTAATAAATGTCTCGCAAATTCTTCATTCCACATATAACTCTTTGACCACTGTGAATTGGATATTCCAGGCCATAATGTTTAGTTTTGGGGCTGATTTTATGTAATATATCAACAAAGCATCTCTTACTTTTGTCTGCCTGTCTTTCAGATGTAACAGTCCCCAAATTGTAGAACCAGTTTTGATGACATCTGGATTGGTATGCTTCTAGTACATTTTCAGGCTGTTTTCATTCTGATTTAGCGTGGTTGATTTTACGAGCTTGTAAGCCTGAATGATTCATTTTCATACATGTTTTAAATCTTTCCACAAATTTGGATGAAACTTGACATGGAGATATTGAACTATTTTTTGTACTTAATTTTGTTATCAGAAGTGGAAAAGGCAAATTTTAATGAAATTTGTTATCTTTCACATTCACAGGAGTAAGCTCATGAACCATGTTTCTGTTCACACTGGAGAACGTCCATACTCCTGTGGTGGTTGTGGAGATGTGTTTATTAGTAACAGTGACCTGGTCGAACATCGTTTAAAATCAGGTGAACGACCATTTTATTGTGAAAAGTGTGGTGCACGATTTGCTTGGAAGTCCATGCTGCGGGTACATCAGAAGGTCCACAGTGAAATAAAAAAATGCAATGTATGTCCAATCTGTTCTCAAGCCTTCAAATACAGTGTTCTCCTTTTGATGCATCAGATCAGTGCTGGTCATGGAGTACCACGTTGGTATCAGGATAGTTTCAATACTATGAATCCAGAAAGCTATCAGCAACATGGAAGAATTAAATTATGTTTTCATATGTTAAAAGTTGCTCCGAGGAGAGTATGTGGAAAATTGCGAATATTGGGTAAACAAAATGCAGCACAAATGATTGAGATTCAACAAATTTCTGTGAAAGATGAGCAGATGGATGTGGAAGAAGAAATGTCCTCTTCTTCAGACATTAAAGGTGGGATGTTATCTTTGGAAGGGGCAAAAGGGCCCAAAGAAATGTCGACCTCTAAAGAATTAAATGAAGGAGGTTGTTATAAAAGGGTATATATAAAACAGACACAGAAACCTTCAAAATGCTGCGAGTAGGACTTGTGCTGTATTTTTGGCAGTATTTAGAAGCATAAAATTTGGATTAGGCATGTGAAAAAGCACAAAGTTTAAGTGCTGATTAAACTACAGGCAACAACAACAAGGAGCCTGGCAGACACAGTTGAGAAAACAATAATTGTAAATGGAATGTGGAATAGTTTCTGGGATGTATATCTGGTACTTCATTTAATAAGATGACTATCATTTCATGGCAGCAGTACCAAGATACATTATGAGATTGAAGTTTGCAACACAAAAGTTTAGGAAAACCTCATATACAGAAAATTGGTGGGCCATGTGTGTTCCTTGGGTTTTGCATCAGTGCCCTAGATTAAATGGCACTAGTGTTGTTCCATCCACTGTATTGTTATTATCGTTTGTAAGAAGATGAAAGGTGTTAATGTAGGGTGGCCTCCAGTGGCATAATGTTCATACCAATCTTGGTAAACATAGGTGAGACAGCATGGTCATCTCGTATGCCTCTTTTATTTATGAAGAAAGGAGAGTAGGCTAGAAAGTCAATTTGAAGTAATTCATACCTACTGCATAAACATACTAAAACACTGTGAAGCTGCATAAAACATAAATTAAAAAAAAAAATGTAAAGCTATTCCTATAACAGGCCATGGAGGCCCATAGGGTTGTGGGACATTGAGGCTCCCACATTTTCCAGGCGATTGGCTTACAGATGGTGGTGTGGTTGTTAGCCTTATGTGCTGGCTGCCATTTACCCCCTGGAAGATTCCTGGTACTCATTTTTCCAGAGACTGAGTCAACCCTAGGGCCATAGCTGCAGCAGGAAGGATTAGACCAACTGAAAAAAATCAGTGACCTCAACATTTATATTGTTTATGCTATGACTCCAAACCTTTCACCTTTGTATTCAGACTTTGTCACCATTATTGACAGCAAAAGCAAGGTGCAGAAGTATTAAATGATCAGTGTTCTGTGCTTCTTACAGTGTATACACTTAATGACCTACTATTTACGAATGTCTGGCTTCCAGACCTCTAGTTTGAAGAAGGATATTAAAAGAATTTATAGTTGTAAAAATTCACATTTCTCACACTGTGTATTCAGTATCTGGTCAAGAAGGATCCAGTGTATTCATTAAAACTGTTTTTAATCTGAAAATTTGAGTGCTTATAGTTACAGAGGAAATAGGTTTCTATAAAGAAATTCAGGAAACATAATTTTAATTTTTTGTTAAAAGAAGTAGTTTACTGTAACTTTGTGAACCTGATATTGAAAAAGAGCAAATGTACATTGTAAACAGTAAAGTTTTTGGAGCCTTCTGAAGAACTGATGCATTGTTTTTATGAAAGTACTCTCATTTCACCTGCTACAAAACATTCTGATGCCAATTCTCTATGTGTTTTGCATTATGTAATGTGTTACCCACTGGAACTAATTCCTTGAGAAGTAATGAAAAATTCCATCATTTGATCTGACTTCCACATAATCCTTCCTAGAATTATTTTTCTTCCATTATTTTCCATTTCTTTAATTTTTATCATTACTTCCTTTTAATTGTTTCCAACAGTGTGGAGGGACTAGTGGTAATTTTAAATTATTACTTATAGCTCTGAAGATGGAGGAGATGGCCTCCAGATATGGAGGTTAGCTGTGAATATACTGAATAAGCAATCACAGACAGCTGACAAGGGGTGGTCCTCCAGCTTGGGGGTTGGGTGTGTGGCTAACAACTGACAGTAAAAAATAAGCTTGTTACAAAGTGTCACAAAGGGCTTTAGATTTGGACAGGTCCTTTGGATAAAACACCTAAGCTAAGGAAAATGGACATGCAATTTGATTCAACGTATGTGAGAAGCCTGTATAGGACAGGTTCGGTTCATTCATGATAGTTGCAAAAGAAATATCAAAATGTAAGTTAGACTGCAAGATGTGGCACTGAGCCAATGGGCCAGTACACATTTTTCTCTGGAGAGGGAAATGAAAATCATGAGTTGGGTACAGTTTTTTGTGCATAAGAGAATCATATCAGCAGTTAAGAGGGTAGAGTTTGCTAGTGATAAGATGTCCTAGATAATACGAAGAAGGTGCTGGTGTGATATCATTGTTCTGAGTGTTCCTGGCCCAACAGAGGATAATTCTCATATGAAGTGAATGACAGCTTCTACGAGGAACAAGAGTGTGTATTCGATAAATTCCCTAAATACAATATGAGCATTTTGTTAGGCGATTTCAGTGGCAAAGTAGGTAGTGAAAGCATTTTCAAACCAACAGTTGGTAATGATAGTTTACATGAAATTAATAATGCTAATGGATTTAGAGTAGTAAACTGTGCCAAATCCAAAAATCTGACCATCAAAACTACAGTGTTCCCATATCGTAACATTCATGAATTTACTTGGACATCTCCTGATGGAAAGACTCGCAGTCAAATTGACCGTATTTTGATAGACAGAAGACAGCATTGAAGTGTACATGCTATCCGATCATTCAGGGCAGCAGGATGTCATAAAAGTTAAGAAGAGACTGGCAGTGAGTAAATAAACCATGCACAGATTTCATATAGGGATGAAATTAAACAAGGTAAAGGATAAAGGGCAGTATTGTGTTGAAAACTCAAAAAGGTTCGCAGCTTTGCATAACTTAGATGTTGAGGTGGACATTAATAGAGCCTGGGAAACTTATATTAGAGAGAATATAAATATTTCAGCCAAAGAGAGTCCAGGTTTTTATGAATTGAGGAAGCATAAGCCATGGTTCAATGAAGGATGCTCAAAATTATTAGATCAAAGGAAACAAGTCAAATTGTAGTACTTAGGGTATCCAGATGCAATAAGTGGGGATAATATGAAGAAAATAAGATGTGAAGCCAATAGGCATTTCACATGCAACATGTATTTCTGGATAAAACTTATTGAAGGTTATTCGCCTTCAAAAAAGACACGTGGCACAACATGACAGAGAACAACCCATCACTTGGAATACATATGCACATAGAGGGGACCATACATTATAAAATTAATAAGCAAAGTCACCACAAGAGAATCACAGAGTTTCCTCAGCTATAACTTAAACACCTGATGATGACCATAATTGTCAAAACATATGGTGACAAACTTTTAAAAAGTTATATGATATGCAAAACTTTTGAAGTGAATAACACTAAATTAGTTTTACAGGAAGATGTGTTGCACATGAGATAGTGAAACGAGTAACATTTGATACTAAGTGATGTGCAGCAGAATGCTACAATATAATATTAATACCAGGACAGTTAGTAGTTATAGCTCAGAAGTTAATAAATTTGAGTCTTTCTGACGCAACAAATATACTTGGCATCGGTAGTGAAAGCATTAGGCATTTCTCTGAAGTATATTACCAGTGCTTCATGTTTGGAATGTTGTGCGTACAGAAATAGCTGACGACATTAAGATTATTATCTTCTAGAATGTAACCTTGTAGATCTTCATTGACATTTTGCAGGAACATGCTGCCTCCATCTTCAGGTTAGAGGACCATATACTGGTTATCCTGACTGAAGTCATCTGTAATATTCATCAGTTCCTCCAGGCATATACTGTGATAATACTGTAAAACAGATCAGGAGTTCCCTCAAAATTCTTTCCAACTGCTCATTTACAAGTTAACCTACTATTAGATGCTACATAATATTATGTCTCTATGAAGCAAGGTTATGACATCTTACAATATATGTTGCCTAGATTAGTCGTAAGCAATTTTTAATCATGACTTTTGCATTAAAATTATAAATCCAAGCTGAAGAGGCAGCGGTCGCTCGGTCGGTGTATTTCACTTGCAGATTACAGACCACGGAGTTTGTTCCACAATATGTTGAAATTAAAATTCCGTATCATGTGTGAACATGGCGTTGATTATTAATTAAAATGTATTTTAGAAGTTAGATTAGAGTTAAATGTATTCTTCGTTACAGTCATCAGCTAGTTACTGGAATATATTTATTTGAGAGTATATTTGCTGATGTTGGATCTTGTTGTACTATATGTCTTTTGACGCAGTGTGGGTATTTTCTGTAATACTGCTTTTGTGTTATTTATGTAGCTTGTATAGATGTATAGTTTTGGCAAGATAGATGTGCACCTGATGATGGCCACTTTATCCCCGAGGAAAGAGCCCCCAGTACCCATTGGCTAGGAGGTTGGGTGGACCCTACTGCCGGTCTGGATGGCATAGAGAAAAGAAAATTCCTGACCCTATCGGGACTCGAACTCCGACCCCTCGGTCGTCCAGCCCGTAGCCAGTCGCTAACCCGGCTCTCTTAGTACATGGTAGAATGGTAATTATCTACCGAAGTGTGGTCTAAATTTAATTTAAGCTCACATGCTTTTCGTAAGGGCTATAAATATCTAATTTAATTTTAATTTGTACTACCAGGGAGAAAAATTTCTGTCTGGAGAAAATGGCTCACAAGGAATACGACGAAACTAACAGGCGTTTTCGCGTTGCGACGAAAGCCTAAAACATATACAAGCCAGTAGGAACATAACCATACACATACAATGTATAAAACGTATAACCAAATTGAGGCTATTGCATATAATTAACAGTGGTTTAAATATCGGGCGTGCGCGGTTGTTTCACCCGCTCGCCATGTTGCGGAACAGCATATGAGTGAGGCCTGAAACATAACAAAATAAAAACTTACATTAGAAATTCAATAAACAAATTGATAGTGATTAACAAAATGAATATAGGAACCTTACCAGTACTGCTGGAATTCTTGCTATCTCTTCTGCAACACGCTGTTTGCTTTAGTATCGTGAGCATGGAAGGCAGATGAGTACACCATTTCTTCATTGTCCGCATTAAAATGGACAACAGATTGCGACCGAAACTGCTTACAATTTGTAAAAAATGAAGAAAAAAATTACAATGAAGTCAAAATTATCATTCTGTGCCCAATAGTGAGCACGTCGTAAAAAAACAAAATTAGACAGAAACTCGAGATGATCGTGTTCGAACGACGCTTCATTCAATTACATATTAACGAAATCACATATACGCATGAACGCCGTTCTGCTCGAGGCATATGGAAAGTCTTCGCCAGAACCACCCAGCTCCAATGTAGTCCATGTATAACCGATTCTTCACGTCAAAGAGAAATTAATCACGTCAGTTAAGTTTCTGTTATCCAAAATCCTAACCAAGACGACAATTCGGCGATTTTACTAACATGCGAAATGTAAATGTCACAGACCTACGTTTCTTTCTCGAGAAATACACAATGTACAAGACTCGGTTGCTTTATATTACTGACTCGACGCCTTTCTTCATAATGACAATCGATGTATTTTTTAATGCTGAAGCTGGAACATATTTTACTGACTTGTCTAAGGTGCTTCTTGTGGTCTGTCTTCTCTAAGTTTGAAGCCGGATCACGTTTCGTTGACTTATCTTATGCGTTTCCTTATTATTCATAAATTTAATTCACAGTACATTGCACAAAAACAAATATAACATGTCACTTCAGTATCTACTTTAGGTGTTTATACAGATGCAGCTACTTTATCTTTCAACACTGGAGTGAAAGACGGATCAAAACAAAACGCAAGTCTTGTTTTATTGAATCTTTTTCCTTCCAATGCGAGTTATTCACAGGAATAAGCTGTTAAAGTTCTCTTTATATCTCTCCCACTCGTACTGACTTCATTGTCATGACGACCGAACCCTGTCAAGTTGTAACCCTGTGGTATAAAGAAGACACGTACTTAAAACTAGCCCTTCCTAAATGAAGGTCCATTAAGCCGCAATGGGATTATTTTCTACCAACAAGAGCTAATCTGGACACGAAATCTAAATTCACACCGCCTAACAGAAATCCTATCTTGGACACCTAACATGGAGGGCGGAGGACAATACCTTACAACCTAATAACAATAACAAAAAATCACATCCATAGGGTTTCCAACTTGACCTTAACCTAAGCTCTGGGCCATGGCGGCTACCGCATCAAATACAGAGTTGACTGGCACGGTGCAATATTATTACCATGACCAGTCTAGGGCCGGACCTGCCGGACTGACATGAATTAGATCGTGCCGATGCTAGGGCTTACCTGATCTGCTGAAGTACCCAGTCCATCCTCCTGCGGATGGTTGCTCAAATGCTAAAGGTTCAGCCGACACTGCTTTGGTTTCGACGTTACGGTTTGCGTGATGCTCCTCTTGGTATGGTCCCTGTTTCGAAGTCCGCGTCTGATAGACGCTACTGTTTCCATTGGAACGCTGCAGACGTTGGCATAATCCAAGGAAAGCACAACACGGTATTACAAATACTTAAGGGAGTCGTTGAAATCACACACACACAGCAGCACAGCACGTTATCCTAATCCACGTAAACGAACCCGTAGAATTATCCATCTCCTCTTCACAGTTTGACCACGAACAATATTGTCTCTGGGATCACTACGGTGCTTTAAGATCCGTGATGTAATTGATTGTAACACTGAACAAACATGTGTACGTATATTTGTTAAATCCACAGATATCACTAATAATGCAATTAACATGGCGTTTATTTTTAATGAAGTTGTATCATAAACACAACTGAATTAGCCAATGTGTAAAAGGTGACAGCTACACCTAGAGAAACTGAATAAAATCTTAGACTCATTAATATAGACAAAATGTACAAGGCCGGGGTTCGACCAGAGTGGCTTCGAGTGCAGCCTGAGCAGCAAAATACTTGAACCAGGTGATTATAATAAATATCTGCGAGAAATTTACTGTTTTCCTTTTGTTCATCACAATGTTAACAGACTTAAATTTTACCATTACAATAACACATTTTCATAATAATTTAATTTAATTATTTTCAGGATAATTATTGAAGTATCGTTGCATTCTTTCGAACTATTTCCTCGAAACCCAATGCAAACCGCTTTCTTGCCCTTGGAACTTTATGTCACTCTTGTTAGAAAACTGCTGAAATGTAGCTCATAAATTCGAATTAAATAATTTCTGTTATTCGATGTAACTGTAAAATATGGTAAACAAATAGTTACGAAGTTCTAAATAAATCATTATTTTAGAACACACCAAGTGCTAAGTTCTGTCTTATTATAACATGGCAACAAAATTGTTGCGATTTCTACAATTAATCCTTTGTGCTAATGAACAAATATTTTAAGTTGTAACTGCACATATTTTGACCTTGTAATATAAACGTTTGGTAGAAATTACGCTTGCCCAATTTAAGAGGCTACTGTTAAAGTTACAATGAACAACACTTCGTCATTGCTACACAAACAACGCAATTACAAGCTCCAAGACGTACTGCTTAAGAAGTGAAACCTTATGAAATGTTTTTAGACGATATGTAATTCAACCGAATTAATATAAAGTCACAGATACTTGAAAGCTGTCTGCTTAGTACAACTTACGATATTTGATACCGCTCTAACACACAAGGTACTGAAAAAACTGGCGGACAAACACGTGTAACATTAGATGCTCTCATGCACGCAAGCAAGTCACTGTTGTAATAGGATGTGAAGTCGTACGAACCGTGTGAAGTAGGGGTTGATTTCGATTCACCGAAAGAGGTATCGATAGTGTAATTAAATTCCATTGGCGGCTCGTGAGAAATATTTTACATGAAGATCAAAACCCATTTACGTTACACTTTAGAACACCCCTAAACTTCAGGGGAAATCCAGTTGTTCCATATACGCTATTAAAATTCGATAAACATAAAACTGTAATAAGATTATTATTAGATTAAAAAACCCTGTCTCTTTCTCCGATCGAACAAAATTGAAATTTAAAAGAGATAAATGAACAAGATAATAGAAAGACTTATATAATATGGAAAGTGTTTATTTGCAGTGGGAAGATGAGACTGTTAAAGATAAATGTGACGATAAACTGACTCATGTGTCCAAGTATTTCGCTCCGGAGGTGTATAGAGGCATGGAAGTAAACATACACCTCTTCCAGCCATTGAGAACACATGGAGGGGAAGGGTAAACCTCTCGGGGGAAGGACTCCACGATATATATTTGGTGTCCCCAGTTCTAATACGAATGTGGAGGGGAAGAGCAAATGTTGCTTTGATGGGGATCGAACCTCAGTCATTCAGCTCCATAGCCAGTTATTTATTGACAGATTTCACCCGGCTCATCAGAGCTAATATTGTTAGAACGACGTAATGAAGAAAATACAGATGGGTAGATTATGCAGTAAGCAGGGGGGAGATATATGTTCAAAATCGTGGTTGAAAAGCCGAAAATTAGCAATTGGTTAACTCAGCGGATATTATTAAACTGGACAGTTGAAGTGTAATTGATTTTGTCAGTATTCAATAAATAACAAAATTAAAACTTATTATCCCGTAAACTTCGGGAAAACAAAAGATTGGCATGTATGAAGCATCATTTTACTACTTATTTATTATGCCTTTGAGTCGTGGCTTCTTCAAGCGAAGAGGCTGAATTTGAAGGCCAGTGAAAACAAAGCGTTCAGGAAAATAATTGTATGCAAAGGAGGCGAAGTAAGTGGAAAATGAATAATACTGCGTGTCAAGTACTGTTAGGATATTCAAGGAGGGATTAGAATGAATGGGCATGTAGCCAGGATGGAAGAAACAAGAGTCGCAGTTTTGTGCAGTCACTTGTTGGAAGACAGAGAAGATTGTGATACTAAATTGTACCTTAAGGACACAGGTTTTGAAGACGATACGTGGATGCACTATGGCTTTCAATAGCGGACACTAATCCTACTGCAAGAGTTATTCACGTTCTTTGTGTATATTTTTTAATTATTGGTCTTTTGAACTACGTTAAACAAAGCACTAAGTTCTTCACTCTGTTATGACCTCCAATTGCCAAACTCCCAGCAACAGACGACGAACAACACACACCTTTCGGTTCCTCCTTAGGGAACTTCGAGACCTCAAGAAACATATGATTTTCTAAGTCGCTTATTTCTAATTTATTTAATGACGATTGACTAACTATGTATATTATGAAGTATAAATGGTAGTATGATAAAGAATGGTTAATTGGAAATGTTCGGATATGGCTATGGTCTATCGTGAGAAATTAGTGCAGAATTCTCCTGGAGGAACTCATGAAATTACAAAACATGTCTGTCGGAATAACAGGCCTCTTGGGCAAGATTCAAACCGAAGATTCTGTCGAGAAAACTGATCTTGGAGGTCACTGAGCCGTAACACTCGTAACTCTTAGCACTGCTGGAATTGTAGCACCGGTGTGAGCAGAGAGGTTTTCTGTTCGCTGTACTGGGTACTATCTGCATCGAGCGTCGCGGCATAGTGTCTGTCTTGCTTCTTATCCGTGAGGTCCCGACTTATAGTCTCGATGGCCAGATCGGAGAGTCTGATCAAGAGTTCCCTGACGATCCTCAGTCCCTTGTTCATGGACTTAAAATAGGCCACGACCATTCCCTATCCTCTCGCCGCAATAATTCAGGGTGCCATTTGACAACATATAATATGTGAAGATGACAAATAATACATAAGGAAGAATTCAGAGAGTTATAAAATAATCAAATTAGCAAAATTATATTTTATTGGTGTAAAGTTGCCAGAGCCTAATGCTTACCACTCACCTCAGCGCTTATGCTGTGATCTAGAAGGCGTGAAGTTTTGTCTTCATTCATGACCTGAGTCTTAAACACTTCATTGTGCATGGATACCGTAATGGCGAATTAGTTCTGTATTATATTCCTGTATTTTAATGGCGTGAGGCTGTTGCTGGTGGTATTGAGAACTAGCCGCCACTACATTAGAGTATAGTAACAGTGACGTCAGTGTCAGCTGGCACGTGAAACAAGCGAATTACGAACCACGTACATGCGTATGACCATCCCCCTCCCCCTTCATGCTTCTCTGCAGCTTTTTGCAATTGTGAGGTTATGAATGTCCAATATATCACGTACTTCTGGTTCAGATTTGAAGATCGGACACGAAATGTAAAATGATAAGAGTTCCTGTGAATCCATGTTTTGTCGTAGGTAAATTCCGGGCCCTAAACGTTCTAAAGTTGCTTAATTCCACTTAGAAAAAAAAGGGTGGCAATGGAAACCATCGAAGTAGCGAGGTTTGTATCTGAAGGTGTCTACACGTAAAAGCAGTATCACTCCATAAAAGTCTAAAGTTTTCATTCAGCTACAACAAAGTTTGTATGAATGTCTACAGTCTACACATTCTGTTGAACACAACAGCCTTCTGAAAACCAAAGTTCAGGATACAACACTTTTCTTTTAAATAATTAAAATATTTGGTATCTTTTCGGTCCTTTTCTCAATTTCGAATTCTTTCCAAGAATCCAAAATGCAGGGGAACATGATTTCGCCGCGTTTGGGTTATGTACCTGAGTCAACTTGTTCTTACTCCAGCATTGATTCCATTCTGTACAGGTGGTCTCCAGTTTCTTTCCAACTTCTTCTCTCTTCTTGATGTCTTCCAATAATAGCTAAACCATCATATTCTGAGTCACCCAACAGTCATCTTTCCTTTAAATTTTAATTCTAATGCTCTCTTGGTCCCTTGCTCTATCCATTCTTTTTGCATGGCAAACCATTGTAACAGATTATATTCTTACCCTATTATAAAATTCTGAATTGCAACGTATCCAAAAGAATTCATACATATTGCTTGGATTTCGCATCATACGTTAGCATCCGTTTAAAATGTACTTTATAAATTGTTTCAATATGTGTTCCACTTTCTTTCATGTGATAAAATTAGAAATATTTTGTATCATTCTGCATTTATTTTACTTTCTAAGTACATAACTTTGACTGATGCTTAATGACTGTATCATTAACTTTTATTCACCACTTCCTTGAAATCCTCATAGATCCCCAAATATGGAGTGACTTAATTACTTCAGTCCTACCTAAATGTCTAATTGTTATGATCATATGGCAGTGGAAGTATAGTAGTAATATTATAAAAATGTAACATTTAAATTGTGTAATATAAAATATGACTTACATACTTACCCAGAAAGCACTCAACTTCGCCATACCAGCGATAAAATCATTACTGAAGTCTTGCTGAATCACTGAATTTACAGTAATGGATTTTATTTGCTATAATAACAAGTCTGTAATTGTCGGTCTGAGAAGAGGGTACTGGGTTCCTATGCCCAAAGGTCTGTTTCAGGACTAACTTGATTCAGTGCAGATATTTCAGTATGCTTCCTAATCCCTCACCTTTGTGCGTCCATTGGCAGGTGAACAAGAAACATGCCTGGAGATGCAAAGTCAAAGCTTCACAAATGCAGGTAACAATCAAGCCCCTCATTGTGGTTCACAGGCCATATTAAGCTGCAAGTTTCACTTGCTAGTCATGACTCATTTCTTCATTCTTTCCAGCTGGGCAGAGGAAACTGAGACAAAAGTGCTTATAACTGGGGAAACAAGTATTATACATACAAATCATGTATCATCTGCAGAATCCTGGATCAATTCAACTGGATCTACTAACAATAATTTATTTCCAGAAAACACGAACTTTCTGGTTTCTATAGTTACATAATTCTCATTTACAAAAAAGAACAAAAATTTATGTACAAAAAAGACAAGACATTTTATATTACACGAATGTGATGACAAATTATCATGTCACTATAGGCGAGGGAGACAGTTAATATTTAAGAAAATGAATTGTGGACACCATAAGAGCTGACAAGTTATGTGTTGTAATGATTCTTCAAGCTAACAGACATGTGTAACACTGGATTTAGTTCATCATGATTCACAGTGGTTCTCAAACCAATGCCAATAAACTCGAATTTCCATAACATGAACTCTTAGCAACTTCAGCTAATCTATATTAAAACATTTATATTTATAATCCAAAAATATTTTAAAATATGCAGCTAGCTTTCCTGATTCTAAAGCCAATACAATTAACCTATGCACAATACAGGTTTCTTGACATCAGATTGTATTAGCAAAATGAATTGATACATGGTATCAGAATTATGAGAATACTTATCACCTGAATCTACTTCTTAATACAAGCAAATTTTACATACAAAATTTTCAGTGCTTAGAAATTCCTGACATAAAAATATGCCCTTTGTCAGAACTTGTCAGAAACATTTTTTCTTCAATATGAAGATTATTACTGTTGGAGCCACAGTCATTTTTCACAAATGAATAAAAAATAATATGCCTGGATAACAAGCTAAAATGTTATCAAAGAAGACTTACCAATCATTTATCAATCAGATAAAGCAACAACATATACCTATACTGAGTATTCCAAAGTAACACTTCCTACAATGTTTCCTCAAAGGTTATATTTCAACTGGATCTCAAAAAGACAAAAGAAGAGTCATTATTCCATACACAGTGATGAATGGAGGGAGAATTTATATACACATTGCACTTGTATGCAATAGCAAATGGAAAGAGTGTAAAAACCAAAAACAAATTCCAAGACTTAGTGATACATGTAGACACATAAAC